GCTATTGTGTTTTTCAGCGATGGACACCCTTGCGACCCCCTTCAAGGTGAACAGCTTGCTACACACATCAGTGGATGCTACGAGAGGAACGGGTTGCAGGCGTTTGCAGTGGGGTTTGGAAGCATTAACCTGAATGTGCTGGAGCGAGTTGCAGAGAAGCTGGGCGGAACATACCACCACGTTCTGATGGGCAATGAACTGAAGGCAACGTTTTTCAGCATTTCGGCCTCGCTGAGCACTCGAGCGGGTCTGGCATAGGCGAAACCGGACCATGAACGGAACTACGTCATTTGCGGGCAAGACTTAGCATCGGGTGAGACAGTGAAGCTCGACGGATGCAGCTACGAGGTCCACAAGGCTTTTTGCAGCAAGATGGAGAACCCGCTCGTTGTCCGTCTTGCCGTCGCGAGATTTCTACGTGAGACTGACGTTCGTCTCACTTTCAATTTCTTTGTTTTTTCGCGTTGCGTCCTAGTAACTTGTGTCATGGCTCAATGCATGTAGTTAACCATTTAGGATTCTTTTTCCTATTCCCACAATCCCGACGCCTACGCAGCATTTTCGCACACGACTTTGCCTTTCACGAAGACCTTTGCGAAATTTCGGTTGTCAGCATTGTGAATGACCTTCTGAAAGACATCGATGGGAGTGTCACGGTCGGAGAATATCAGGTTGCGTCCACGGTTGACATCTACGAAAATGGCATCAAAGCTCTTCCCCACAGCAAAACTTCCTGTATCCTTCTCGAGTTTCAGCGCCTTTGCGCCGCCCATTGTCGCTAGCCAGAAGGCGTCCTTGAAGTCAAACGGCTGCATTATGGCATCGAACGTTCCTTCTTGAATCTCCAGCGCCTTTATCGACAGCACGCACGTCTGAATCGCACGCAACATACTCGGCGAGTATCCGCCCGCGATATCTGTGCCCAATCCGACGTCCACTTGCTTATCCAGCACCTTTCTCACATCAAGAAATCCATTGGCAAAGAAGAAATTGGACAGCGGACAACATGCGATCGCCGTTTCAGTGCGATGCAGTATCTCCAGTTCGTCCTCCTTCAGATGCACTCCATGAGCCATACAGCTCTTCTGTGTCAGCAATCCTGCTTGTTCAAACAGCTCGGTATCTCTCTGTCCGGGATGTAGTGTCTCCACAAAAGCTTCTTCATCTTTCGACTCAGCAATGTGCGATTGCACATGCACGTCGTACTTCTTGGCCAGTGCACCCAGCCCCTTCATTAGCTGCAATGAGCACGTGGGGACAAACCTTGGGGTGACGACCGGCTTTACCAGTTCGCTGTTCTTACTTAGTACGTACTGAATAAACTCTTCCGCGTCTGCCAAACACTTGACCACACTTGACGACACATACGTATCTGGAGCGTTCCGATCCATAGATACTAGCCCCACTAACCCCCTTTGGCCCCGACGTTCCACCAGATCCGCCAAGATCTTTGTGGCTTCGACGTGAATTGTGGCAAAGTATTGAGCTGTGGTGATACCCTGGCCTAACATCGAGTCCAGCAGAGCCGAATACCATTTCAAAGCCACTTTTGGATCCTCGAAACTCTGTTCCACTGGAAACGTGTATTTGTCCAACCACTGCATCAACGGGACGTCGGTGGCTGTCCCCATGAATTGAAACTGTGGTGCGTGGACATGAGTGTCCACGAATCCGGGCATCAGGAATTGACCTTTGGCGAGAAGCAGGACGTCGGAGGAGTGAGTTTTCGATAGCAGATCCAAATCGGCGGGCTCGATCTGAGCGTGGAAGGCGGTGATGCGCCCTGTTGCAGGGTTAATGGACAGGAAGGCGTCCTCGAAAAGCTCGATGCAGCCACGAGAAGGCGCGTGCACCACGCACCCACGCACGTAGCTTGGCATTAGGTAGATGAAGGTTGTTCTCTGGATATTTATATCCAGAGTTTCAAAGGCAACGGTCATGTATCTCTATGTTTTGTCCATGATTCCCAAAAATAAATTACGGGGAACTTGAAATTTATTTAGGTTATGATTGTGATATGAGACTGCGGCAAACAAAATGTTACTAATCAACATTTTAGCGTTTTCGAGATAAACGGCTCTGAAGTTGACCAACAGTTTTTCGTACATAAACGAATTGCTGAGTTAGAGCCTTTTTTACTTTTCAAAAATTTGGATCGAGGTGTATCACCTACAAAGCAGACGACCATGGAGGATCTAATAGCGTACGCGTCGGGAACTGCTGCTGGCGGCGGTGAAGCTGCTCCCCACCGTGCCGACACTGGCGCTCCTGTTGCTGCCCCGGTCGCCCCCAGGGAACCGGAAGAAGAAGTAGGCTGTAGCAGCCAAAGCGCCGCGAGTGACAGCGAGAAGCTTGACGACAGCGAGGACGAGGACTTCACCCCCGACTCACAGGCCTCTAGTTACGACGAAGAGCCCCTTACAGCTGAGAGCGCAGATAGTGGAGAGGAGGACACTGCTGCTGAGGGTGACGAGGACATTAGTATCTATTTGATGGACCAGGATCTTCGTGGCCAAGTTACCTCCATTCTTCAAGCTGATGCGTGTGGGAATCGCTGCGTGGAGAGCAAGACTAAACAGCTGGAGTTGCTGCTCTGCTCGCTGTCCACAATGACGAAAACGGAGAAGTCGATCAGCCTCTACACTCTTTTGGGGCCACTGATGCAGGTGCCTGTCGATCGTGCCCGTGGGTATGGACTTCGGGATAAGTTCGCATACTATCTTCCTTTCGTGGGCAAGGTGTGTCGGCCCACGTTTGCTCGCTGCTACGGTGTGGTGCCGCTCACTGTTCAACGATACAAAAACCACGTCCGTGACGGAAATATCGGGGCGAAGAGTCATGGGAACACTTTGAACCAGAACGCAGCGGCTGTCGATCTGGTCTGGTTAGTGAAGTGGTTTAAGGAGTTTGCAGAGGAGGTTGGGGAGGTTGTGCCGGTGAGAGTTCGAATGCAGAAGACGAAGGATGGCGTCACGAAGAAATATTACAGCAGCGAGATGTACACGCTACTGCCCGCGCACTTCACATGGAATGTTTTGTACGAGGAGATGCACAGCTTCGTGGAGCAGATTCGCCTGCGCGTCCGAGAGCCTGCACCTTCGACGATGAGCAAGCTACTGACGCTCCATTGTCCGACCATTCGCATTCGGTCGCCAAGAAGCAACGTGTGTGATATCTGTTCCATCTACCATACAAGCATGCGCAACGACGTCAGTGCAGAAAAAACCGAGGCGCTTGGCAGACACACGGAGTCCGCTCGCAAAATGCGGTAAGGGAGATTGGTATCAATTTAATCTACTGGTAGCTTTTAACAGGGGATGTTAATATCTTTTTGTTTTGGTTGCAGCCGTGAATACAAGAAGGACAAGACTTCAGTGAGCGACGACCACGCCGTTATCGTCATGGACTTCTCGCAGAACCTTACTGTTCCTAGCATTGCCAGTACGCCGTCGCAGTGGTATTTTTGCTCACTGTTGTCCGTCAGTTGCTTCGGCATTTTCTGCGAGAACGACGGTATTCAAACCAACTACCTCTACGATGAAACAGCGAGTGGAAAAGGCAGCGACCAGATCAACTCCATGCTAGAACATTTTCTCCGGACCAAGGTTCTGTCTGAAGGCAAGAATAGATTGACTGTTTACGCTGACAATTGCTCGGGTCAGAACAAGAACAACTACGTCATCAAGTTCTTGTTGGCGCAAGTGGACATGGGGCTGCTGAAGCACGTAGACTACAAGTTCTTTGTAAAGGGCCACACGAAGAACCCGTGCGATCGAGGTTTCAGTCATATTCGCAAGCATGTTGCGAAAGTAGATTGCTATACTGTGGCTCACGTAGTGGACGCTGTTAAGGAAGCCGCGGCGAACGCTGTGACGGTTCACATTCCACGTGGTAGCTCGCAGTTTAAGAGTTACAAGGGCGTGCTGAGGGAGCTGTACAAACGCCTAGAAGGCATTCAGCAATATCAGATCTTCTCCATGGACGAAGTGTCGATTGGAGTAGTGTCGTGTAGGAAGGAACCTAACGATGAGCCCGTCGAGATGAATCTCCAGCGTAAGTTTGACGGTATCCTCACGACAAAGGAGAAGGTGGTGAAGATGATGAGCGACCACGTGGAGGTGCTGGCCCCACCACCGCCCAATGTGGAGAAAAGACAAACGATGTACCATAACATCAGGCCATACGTCCCTGAGGAGTTCCGAGACGATTCACTGTACGCAGAACCGAGTGCGCAAGACCACCTGGATGCCAAAGCAGCCAAGCAGGCACGCCGAGACCACCGTGCGGCCATGGTAGTGGCAGCGAAAGCGAATCAGGACCGTCGTGGGCTCGAAGACGTCGGGCCAAGCGCCGAGGAAGCGCCTGCAAAGAAGAGGAAGGCCCCAAAGAAGTAAGTGCTTCGGCAGAATATGCGATTTACCCGATAAATCGAATTGATATCTACGTCCATCAGTGTATAGATTTCCGATTTTTCAAAAAAAAATTCAAAAACAACACTTGGGTACACTGGAGTGGCAACACAAAACTGGCAAAACTGACCTTTTAGAATACGAATTAGCGTAAACCGAGGCCACCACTGGATTCCTTGGGCGATTTTGGATCTAATTCACCAATAAAAAAATATCGACTTCGACGTCCTTGACGGAGATAAATTTTTGGTCAGCCGATTTCTCCGAAACGGCTGAATGGATTTCTTCGTTTGACGGCTCTACGGACGGCGGAGATACAGGGCTTTTCAAAGGTGTGCCTTAGACGCTTTTTAATTAATGGTTGATTAGTAACTTTTTGTTTGACGCAGTCTCATATGGCCTGACATGTGAAACCATATTGACAGTAGGGTGTGAAAATTGAAGAATGAGAGGACTTTGACATTGTTGGACATTTTTTCACTGCTGTATTGCATCGTGAAACTACCTTTTGTAATGAGAGATTTTCCAGAACTTATGTCGGTGAAGTCATGAAATCATGAAAACGTGACAACATGGAAAACATGAAAACATTTAATTTTTAGGGATTAAAACCTGTTCCTACTCAGTTACCTTTTCTTTCTCTTTGATTTCATCGCTGAACTCCATGATGGTACGCAGAATATCCCACCGACGACGCAACAATCCCTTCTCCGTGTAATCGCTACCTGCTCCCTTCCAGAAGCGGCGCCAGAAGTACAGACAGATGAAAACGTCGCCGTCCTTTTGGATGGGACTGGGCACGACCGTGACACTAAAAGCCTTCGCAATGCTTTTCTTAACGATCTCGCCCGCCAGTTGTGCAAGCAAGTTGTGGTTTGCACGTTTATCCGTGCTATCGTAGCAGCACACAGTCTGCGTAGATCCATCCACTACGATACACGTCCAGTGGGTACCATTGATGTTTAGCGGCAAGAAAATTCGTCCAGAACTAGCTGCTGTGATCAAACTTAATGTCGGTGGTGGGACTCGCATTCCTTTCTTGGGGGTCTTGGGCACAGGCGTTTTCATGGGCGGCAGTAAAATAGTAGTGTTGTTTCCGTACACGCCTTCTACCATCTTTCCGTA